ACACAAGGTCAAAGTATACTGCAGTGTCAACACACAAGGTCAAAATATAGTGTCAACACACAAGGTCAAAGTATACTGCAGTGTCAACACAAAAGATCAAAATATATTGTCAACACACAAGGTCAATTATACTGTCAACACACAAGGTTAATTATATTGTCAACACACAAGGTCAATTATATTGTCAACACTAACTGTCAACACACAAAGTGAAAATAAACCAGTGTCAACACTCAAGGTTAAAATGTAGTTTCAACCTACAAGGTCAAATAAAGTGTCAACACGAGGTCAAAATACACTGTCAACAAGCAAGGTCAATATCAATCATAGCTGCTAAACACAAAGTCAAAAATATACCATAGCATCAACACACTAGGTCAAACCATACCATAGCATCAACACACTAGGTCAAACCATACCATAGCATCAACACACTAGGTCAAACTATACCATAGCATCAACACACTAGGTCAAACTATACCATAGCATCAACACACTAGGTCAAACTATACCATAGCATCAACACACTTTGTCAAACTATACCATAGATTCAACACACTAGGTCAAACTATACCATAGCATCAACACACTAGGTCAAACTATACCATAGCATCAACACACTAGGTCAAACTATACCATAGCATCAACACACTAGGTCAAACTATACCATAGCATCAACACACTAGGTCAAACTATACCATAGCATCAACACACTAGGTCAAACTATACCAAAACATCAACACACTAGGTCAAACTATACCATAGCATCAACACACTAGGTCAAACTATACCATAGCATCAACACACTAGGTCAAAACATACCATAGCATCAACACACTAGGTCAAACTATACCATTGCATCAACACACTAGGTCAAACTATACCATAGCATCAACACACTAGGTCAAACTATACCATAGCATCAAAACACTGGGTCAAACTATACCATAGCATCAACACACTAGGCCAGAATATACCATAGCATCAACACACTAGGCCAGAATATACCATAGCATCAACACACTAGGCCAGAATATACCATATTGACGTGCAAAGTCCAACAAAATCCAACAGTAACACTTGTGCCTACCATTGTGTGATCTTCCTCTGTTCTAACACAGTGAGTAATGGGGTGAAAATTAGGATCTGCATATTAATCAGATTGAAGGGGAACTAACATATATGAGAACCCTTTATATATTTCTCCAGAAATGGTGAAGAAAACTATGACCGTCAAAATCCAATATTATCACCTGTTGGCCATATTGATTTTCCGATCAGTCCCAAAGTGAATTAAGCATAACCAGGGACCAAAAGTTATCAACATATGGAATTTAAGAAAGATCCATCCAATGCTACTTCAGATATTGTGATTAAAAATGATTTTTTTTTAAAGACAAAGAGAGATTTGAATAGCCCACCATCTGATGACAGTGTGCTGAAAATACAGCAATGTAAACACAGAAGGTCAGAATATAAGTGTGAACACACAGGCAAATTTGTATCACAGTGTCAATTACACACAAAATATACCACAGCGTCTACATACAAGGTCAAAATATACCACAGCGTCAATAAACAAGGTCAAAATATACTACAGCGTCTACATACAAGGTCAAAATATACAACAGCATCAACATACAAGGTCAAAATATGAAACGATATCAACAGACAAAGGTCAAAACATGTAACAATATCAATGAACAAGGTCAAAATATACAACAACGTCAACATACAAGGTCAACATATGTAACAATGTCAACACAAGGTCAACATATACCAGAATGTCAACACACATGGGAAATATAAACTAACAAAAATGCAAAACTAGATTACATAAAAAGAACATGTGAGATACCATAAGGAGAACAGGAAATGAGGCTGGCGTGTAGTTTCAGTTTCTTCCATGTATTACACCTAAGTGTATTACACCGAAGTTAATGGAGTAAATCCATTTTGTTTGTACAGGGTTGACTAAGACCATAGTTTGTTATCAAAACCACAACACACAAGGCATTCTAGTTTTTATCAAAAGTGGTCACAACATTTTCTTCTGTATCTTGATAAAAATTTATTAAAGAGAGCAGACCTGCATACACCTATATAGCATATCTTTCAGGTATTTACAGGCTGTCAACCAAGTTTTCTTATATATAAATATAGGAAGAATATAGGACTATTTTTCCAACAAATATAGGAGTTTTTTGCTAGTTTTGAGGCAAAATATAGGAGTTTTCCAAACAAGAATCATTTCATTCAAAGGCATTTATACTAATAATTCTTACCTTCACTTACTGTTTCTATATTAATCAATGATTAAAAACTACCTTAAAGTAACCATTCACTTCAACATCATCACAATCCAGACAGAGAACTGCTGCAAAGCTCTCTATCATCATCATCTGAATGGGCACCTAAAAGGCCAATATCCTGTTGTGCTGCCTTGTAAGGTACCCATACAGGTGATAAAGAGATGCACTGAATCATTTTCTGGTGGCTGGTGATGCTGTTAAAGACTTTAGAATTCTCTAACCTGTAAAATAAAGAATTCAAAAGCAGTGTAAAAGAAATATTTACGATCTCTACATTTATCGGCGACAAATTTCCTGAAAAATATAGGAATGTTTTTCAAAAAATAAGAAAATGCAGGAAATATAGGTCTTTCATAAGATTCAACCAAAATATAGGAAAATATAGGAATTTAGGAATCAGTTGACAGCCTGTATATAGTTAACATTTAAGAAGTCTATGCTTTGTACACTTTACAACGTAAAATCCAAATGCCAGTCATATGGTAAATCAGTTTTAATGCCAAGTCTTGGCTCACAACATTTACTGCAGTGTCTTTGGCACAGAATGTAAAATCCTGAAACATGCTTGTGATTAATAAAAATAATTTCAAATAATGTTAAAATACTTGAATATGACAAAAAAAAATTAATAAGAATGATAAAATCATATATTTTTTTAACTTTAATTGGCAAAGTTATGTTATCAGAAAACTTATTTTCTGATTATTTCCCTTTACTGTAAATACATTTCTGAGAACACACCAAGGTCAATTCCGTATAGTTTTGACAGCAATCTTGATTGTTTGATCCGCAAACATCCAGCTGGACATGACAAATACCATCCAGTTTTTATCTAATTCCGACCAAGAAACACACATAATTCCTAACCATCATACCATACAGTTTATCTTGCTATATCACACAAAACAGTTCTATACAACTTTCACCAATTATCCTGTTTAATAAGTAAATAAATCTTACTGTTATAGTGTATACTGTCTCTTGTGACGCAGAAATACAATATGATGAAACAAGAAACCCACAAAACACTGTATTTCCCATATTTATAACTCTAAGCTGAAGAAAGTAGGTTACTTGACTAAGACTTTTCTTCTAGAATTATTGCAAAGAAAACTTCAAACATTATAACTGATTTCGTATAAAAAATGTCTTAAGAATTCCATTGCAATTACTACAAGGATTTCAATCAAACTTCATTTTCCCACTGTAAAATATCAAATCTATCACAATCAGGACTTACATCATCAAGTCAATCTAGAAAGGTCTTACTTAAGATATAATTAATATAACACATTTATTTAAAGATGAAATGCTAAATTTCTAACAGGTAGATCAAGATAAGTGAGCAAAATGCAAGAGCGGTTTATATCTACATAACTACTTCAGACATTAGAATGTACCTTTTTATCAAAACTCCAGCATAAAACCACCTTAAATCAATTGTCCAGTCACAGTGTATGATGTTATATAGCCACGTCTGATGTGGAAAGGGAAAAGAATATGACTAGATCCAGGATAACAAGCTCTATACATCGTGTATATAACATCACATATAAAAGTGAAAGGTTTAATTCTTCTGTCCCAGAACTGGTGGGGATTTGGAATGAAACAAGAAAAACATATCCTATACCGTTTGATGAAGATATCCCAGAGCGACAGCTAAGGTTACTTACAAGGTCAAAACTAACATAATGAAGACAAAATGTTATAAGAACACATTTCAGGGAAACGGGAATGGATGTGTGTATCACACTCAAATCAAGTCAATACTCTCACACTAACCAGGGTTATCTCCCTTCCTCTATTAAACAGGTTTGTCTCCCTACCTCTACCACACGCTGTCACACAATTCTTTCTGCACAAATACTCTCGATTCTCTTTATATTGATGATTAGATATATACATTGATATATTTCAATATTTACACCATGAAATAATTATATCATGTGTTTACCAGTCATAAATATAAGGTTCATGATAGAATAATAATAATAACCATCTGTCAGGTTTTCGTGGGGAAAACAATGAGACAAAATGACTGTGATATTGAAAAAGACTACTTATGAAAATAGTAATCAGTGAAAATGAAATTATTATGAAAAATGATAAAAAAAATTCTGATGAGATAATAAATACATTATATGCATAGGCAGCTATTACCAGACATCCTCATGTTTGATATGTAGGTGTGAACCGGTGATGAACTTTCGGAACCATTTGTTTACAATGTTCAGATATGATGTCTATAGTGAAATACATTTCATTGGTACAAGTTCAGTGTTAGCGAATTCATTATTATCCGTACATGTTCTGTGTTTATGACTTATAGTTATTTGTACATGTCCTGTGTTTGTGACTTTATTATAATTTGTACCTGTCCTGTGATAGTGACTTTTAGTTATTTGTACATGCCCTGTGATTGTGAGTTTTAATTATCTGTACTTGTCCTGTGATAGTGACTTTTAGTTATTTGTACCTGTCCTGTGATAGTGAGTTTTAATTATCTGTAGAAGTTCTGTTACGATTTGTGAGAGTTCCACATGTCAATAAAATATTCATCATTTATACAGGTCAGTGAAATTTTGATCCTCAGTATATGTTTAGAGTTTCGATACATTGATGGTGATGTGGCTTTATAAAGAAGCAAGGTGATCCCTCATTCCGTTTATTGGGTGTGAACCACATGATCTATGAGTAAATGGTGATGACTTCATGGCCGCTCCCTCGCACCATCAACACTCTTTCTAGACCCTCTGTCAATACTTCCAGGAACTCCATATCTAGAACATCGGTGAAGGAAAAATCACAGAGAAAATTGAAACATTGTTCCATTTAAACACTGCTGGTCAATAAAAGAATGATGTATATGTTAGCTCTATGCTGTCTGTCTAAGGTGAAAATGTCTTTTACATTGTATCCCAAACAAGTGGCCCAAGAGTCACCTGACTTTTATACTCATAGAAATCAACTTGATAACAAAGAAAGATAACCTTGCACTACATTGTACAAGTGATGCAGATGTAAATTACATGTGCGTTATATTAACTACTATCCATTAATAATAATTCAAACTTGGTAAGAATTATTTTCAATGGAAATTATGCGAAAAATGAAACTTTCCTATTGAAACTATATTCAACTTTCCCATCTCCCCTGGGAAATGTGAAACCCTAGGTTTATGAAACTGACAATTTTCCTAAAAAACTGATGAACTTTCCACCTATGATGAGTTTTAACTCACCCTTTATGAATATTGTGAAGGGTTTTGAAATTTGAGTCAATTTGACACCTCACGCCCCTTGGGATTGGGGGTCATATGATTCATAATATTGGTTCACATTTTGGGTGTAGAAGGTTTCTGCTTTTCATGAAAATTGGTTCTGGGGATTTTGAGAGTAAGTATATTTTCTACTGATACATGACAGATGACAGACAAAAGGTGATTGGAGGTCACCTAAAACATATCATTATTGACCTTAAATTCTGTTGAGTAAAGAGATTTCAGTTAATATATTAAACTCAACCTAGATGAGATAAAGAAGGTAAGAGTTTTAGGCCTAGCATCTTTTATACTGAAATCAGAGAATCGGAGATCTATCCCGAAGTATAATCACTGATATTGTGTACATCAAACTTCTATACTAATTAGTACCTGTAAAAAGGACAGGTAATATGGTAAGGAAGCTATTGCATTATGTGTTCCTTCCCTTACTCTGATTTATAAACGTTTACACAGTATGACATCTGTTATTCCAAAGGTATCACCCTGTAAACTGGTAGAAAAAATGAGCAAACTGGTTCTTTCTCAGGACAGGTGTGACTTTGAGATCAGGTAAGAACTGAATAATATATTGGTATAAAGAATGAATCCAAACATTCTATACAGTAAAATTAGATATGACTTTGTGTCTCAGAAACTTGTGGTAGTTATATTAGAAAGGATACAGTTGAGTTCGCCTGCTTCTGACTTTGGTGGGGCTGGCAGATTCAGGATGACAAGTTGCGACTCGTGAGACTTTTCAATGATGACTTCATTGAGACGTACGGCTGTGTGCATTCTCCTCACATTTCTTTTATCTCTGTAGTAAGAATGAAGATATAATCAGCACATACATTAACATATACAGTACTTACCTCACAGCCATCTTACACCAGTGTATTCTCCTCATCACGTACATTAAAGCTACAAAAATTATCCAAATTTAAAAATATTAATCATGCTTATTTTTAAAAGCATGCCTGCCTGAATAAAAGAACATGAAAAAAAATAAACTAAAACTGCAAAATCTACAAGGTTGGTTTTATCAAATACTGATGCAGAATTATACAAAAAGGAAAAACAGCAGCATACTTTAAGTATCCAGAACAATCTATCCTGTAAAGTTTACCATACTTTGTTGATAATATCCTCTAAGGGTCTAGGTTTTAAGGCCTAAGGTTCCTCCCATGTATCAAAATTAATCTTTACAGTATTGAGATTGACGAAGCTACATCTAAATTACAAATGTTTTTAATTAACATTTCAAATTGTATTTTCAAATAATGTGATTTGAAAGTATTAAAAACAGTTCTTTCAAAGTTGTGATTGCAGCCATCTAATCATTTTCATTTTTGACATAAAAATCCTCAGAATTGAGTGTGACACATGTGTGAATTGTGAGTGACTTGATTTCATTGGTGCAATGCAACTAGCTTAGAAAGCTCAATAACATTAATGATTTTTATCAATGAATCTTCCTTCTGTCCTATCTGATGAACCATTTCACACAGTTGGAATGAGTTTATTAAAGCATATTGAAGAAATAGATAATTTGTATTTATATTTTTGCTAAGTTACATTTCTATAAGCTGACACAATCCAATTTCTATGTGATTTTGGTTTGCCATGATGTACATAATTGTTTTACTCTTTTGCTATTTAGATGAAATTTTTGATTAAGTAAAAGAATACAACATTTAATCCCACTATTTCCATAAATTTACATATATGCTTTTTGTTAAGTATTTTTCCCCACAAGTCTCAAAGCAGAGCTGTACAATTTATTACAGGACAATGAAATAGCATTTATTGGAATTTCACTTGAACTACAAAGATTTGGCTAGGATTATCACTAAGCATGCATTACATCAAATCTACATAAAGAATTAATTTTGAAGTATCAAATGGTCAATGATTTACAGACATAATTAAGAATTAATTTTGAAGTATCAAATGGTCAATGATTTACAGACATAATTATACAAATGAATGATAATTTCTAAAGATGAGCACAACCTAAGTGATTTCCAGCAGTCATAGTATGTGATATTTGTGAAACAATAGTGAATGTCTGCTGCGGAAGGACAACTTTTGTGCCAAGTAGGAATTCCTAGCATCTCACAATCAGATGTATAACTCTCTTTCCTCAGCTGAATTCAGTTATGTCACTTTTAAATTATCTTTAAAAACTTCCTATAAACAAACATTAAAAACTGGTTCTTAAATTCACCTTAATTTGGCTTACTTCAATTACTTAGAACAAAATTTCTTAGGGTATATGCCACCTAAAACATCAAACCTGTAATTTGTTTCAAGAGTTATTTCCCTTAATGAGATACACAAATTACTGCTGTAACTTTACTTTATACAATTGTTTGCCTTCAAAATGTGTTTGTCATTAATTTACCAAGTTATTAACATCTTTTAACATTTTGTGTAGAACTCTTCAATAAAGGAAGTCAAATTTACTGTAAAGTAGCATATATCCTTAGTATAACTCTGTTCAGAATTAAGTTCTGTCATGAGTATCCCCAAGACAGTGTGCAATTCTCTGCCCAAAGTAATCCAGAATCAAAAGTATTTCTGTTGCAGAGACTAAACATGTTGACAATTTTGAATGACGATGCATGTAAAGAAATTACTTCAAGAACTTTACCAAATCATTACAAAAGTTATGAAACAATACAATACTTCAAAAATCAAAATCTGTAAAAAATGTTAGCAAAAAGACAAAAAGCACTTGCATAACATTATGTCTGAAGGAAAGGAATGGTCAAAACACTAGTTGATGGTGAAAGTGAAGGTAAATGTGTATAGGAAAAGAGAGAACCAGACAGCTTACGGTTTGATAGCCTTAAGTTCCATTATTGGGTTTTGTTCCACTAATGGGCTGGTCTTGGATGACCGCCCAAACAGAGATGCTGGCCTACTGAGAGAGGAACAAAGCAAGAAGCTTATCAAACACAGGATCTGCACATACTGACAAATTTTAGGAATTCCCAAAGGGGAAATTCTGCATGTACATAATTTTAATTTTCTGAGAAAGTTGAAAAAAAAATCATAATAAAATTTTTTTTTAAAAAATTAATGCACCTCTTTAAATGACAAGAAAATTGTTTAAATAAGATTCCTGTATTTCACAAATTTTGAAATCTTCAGTAATATAATAAATCTAAAATCATTGTTGAAAGTTGAGGGGTTTCCTCCAACATAGGGAGGACAGGCTTGTTGTCACTGATACTGTGGCAGTATCGAACACTATAACCCTCAGTGAGGATCAAAACTAGTACATATTAAAGCCGCATCAAATGTGTTGTCTGTTGTAGGACCTAATCTGGATCCTTTCACTACTTTGGTCACTTAAATAAAAAATATTGCACATTGAACAAAATACTGACAAAATTCCCTCTCTCTTTTCAATAGAAATACAAAAAATAGAAGTAAAAACAGCATTGAATGGTATTTACGACAATGCCACCAAATGACTTGCTACTCACATACTCAATAAATGGTACTCATACTCAATAATTGGTACTCACATACTCAATAAATGGTACTCACATACTCAATAATTGGTACTCACATACTCAATAATTGGTACTCACATACTCAATAATTGGTACTCACATACTCATTAATTGGTACTAATGTACTCAATAATTGGTACTCACGTACTCAATAATTGGTACTCACATACTCAAAGACTATTACTTGCACACTTAAAAATAGGTACTCATACACTCAAAAGTTGGAACATTGTATTAAAATACTCAAAGACTTCTACTCACACACTCAAAATTTGGTACTCACATACTCCAAGGTTGCTACTCACACTCTCAAATGCTCCTACACTATAACTCAAAAAGCTTCTACACACACCTAAAATCTGCTGCTCACAAACAAAAAGGATGCGTCTCAAACACTGAATGCATCCAACTCACACATTCATATTACTCACACACTCACAGTTGCTCTTCACACACTTAAAAATTTACACCAATGACACCTTGTTCTACCTCGAAGAATGAGTTCAAAATTAATTTTCCATAAATTAAAATTATGTAGACAGATCCAAACCAGGATGGCAATACCTGTATATTTTTCTCTCTTACTTGTCAACAATTATCATCCATAGACTGCTGAAAAATATATACATCTTTAACTTTTTTCAAAACACATGAAAATAAAAATATTTCATGAGTAACAATATGAAAGACAGGAGTAACTTACGGTCTCATGCTGAGAAGATCGTTTACAGGACTGGAGGGTGAGGAAGCTTTCTTATCACTTGACAGGTTGGAAGGTGTGAATGTATACTGATGTTTTTCTAACTTTTCCTCGTCTGTAGAGGATTCGGTTGGAAGTCCCTCCTCAGTTACAGTCTCTAGCTGAATCTTTACCTGGGCAGGGGTTCGATGAACATTGTCCAGTATGTCTTGGGGCTGTACACATAAGGAAGCTCGTTTTTAAAGCAATTCGGATGATATTTTAAAAAGTTATCAAAACACAGGAGTGCATCAGTAATATCACAAATGAGAATAATTATAGACTGACCTAAATAATGCATTTCTTTAATATAATTATCCTCTAATACTTACACTGAGCTTGGATCCTCTAATACTTACACTGAGCTTGGATCCTCTAATACTTACACTGAGCTTGGATCCTCTAATACTTACACTGAGCTTGGATCCTCTAATACTTACACTGAGCTTGAATCCTCTAATACTTACACTGAGCTTGGATCCTCTAATACTTACACCTAGCTTGGATCCTCTAATACTTACACATTGCTTGGATCCTCTAATACTTACACTGAGCTTGGATCCTCTAATACTTACACTGAGCTTAGATCCTCTAATACTTACACTGAGCTTAGATCCTCTAATATTTACATTGAGTTTGGATCCTCTAATACTTACACTGAGCTTGGATCCTCTAATATGTACACTGAGCTTGTACCCTCTAATACTTACACTGAGCTTGTACCCTCTAATACTTACACTGAGCTTGGATCCTGTAATACTTACACTGAGCTTGGATCCTCTAATACTTACACTGAGCTTGGATCCTCCTCCTCCTCTCATTGCCTTTAACATCTCCGTCCTCTGCTCCATCATTAATGTCCTTTCATATGTGTATGCCGATATGTCATTATTTGTCTGAAATTATAAACTTTTTTTACAGTTTTCATACTACAACAATATTCATGTTCAAAAAGAATATCAAATTTTAAAAACATCTTTTATGATATTTTAACATTTTCTGCCATTTTTGGAGGCTGTAAATAATGAGATTCTGGATTCATATTTCAGTCTCACATGATGTAATTTGAAGAGATGAAAAAATTACATTTTGATCGGGCCAAACATTTCAGTGTTACCTAATGTACTGAACATAAAATTAGCAGAAAGTCAGGAAGATGAACAGAATATTTGATTTGTAGATGCTTTGCTAACTGTGTATGAAATTTGATTGGTATAAATATCCCTGTTAATGAAAGAAATCATTTGATTGGAGGATAACTTACCATTTCCACAACCTCAACCTCAGCCTCTATTCTCAGGTGATACATAAACATTTCTAGGTCTTTCTTCATTTGTATTGTGTTATCCTCCAGTTCTTCACACAGCTAAGGAATTCTCTTTTTATTTGTCAGATTTTTGAAAATAGGGTCAAATTTTTCACTTGTCAATGAAGTGATAATGATAGCGCTGGTACTGATTTACAAATCATTAATTACCAAAATAATACAACAGATTTTATAAGATTCCTTTACTCAGCACTCAGACATCCATTTATTTTGTGTTCACAATTACAGAAATATTAACCTTGGTGTTAGAGTAAAGCTGTGAACATCAAATTTATATTTCGGAAAAAATGTTGTTCAATACAAAACTATCTGATTATTGTAGTTAAGAGAAACAAAAACTTTACCAAGGTCATGATTTCTACATAATGGTAACAGCATACTGTATCTGTATACATTAAGGATACGAGCCACGGTGAAGATCCGAAGACGGCAATTCTTCCACACTTTATGCTGCTTTAGTAAGAATGGCAACAACATCAGCATTCCTCCATCATGTGGATAGGTTAAGGAAACTTCCAGACACATTTATTTATAAGCAAATTGATACCATAACAAAGTTAAACAGCTCTGAAGTGCCATATTAACAAAATCACTATGTCATATAATCATGTCTTTGAATTAATTGGTAAATCATTCTTGGTCTGTAAACTGTTGAAAAATCACGGTTGGTCTGTATACTGATTGGTTGATTACCCTTGGTCTGTTATTTGATTAGTAATAAGCTTTGTTCTTTAAATCGATTGGTTCATCACACTTATTATGTAAATGATTGGCTGGTCACAATTGTTATGTTTTGGTACAGTACAAATATGACATAATAAACTTGACATGAATATCACACCTATTTTAGTTCCTGTGTGACATCCACAGATATGGACCAATTCCTGTCCCTTTCTACCAATACATCCCCCTTTCAGATATTTTACTTACCTGAACAGTTTTTTTAAAACCTAGATTTGTTGGCAATTTGAATCTTACTTTGAAAAATCTAATCCTCCAAATAAGCTGGACTAATAATAAAAGTTACAGGCCCGAAGTCTTTTTTCTCCTGAAGTGATTCCAATTACTTAACTGTAAACCGTTACCTGCACTAGATTTATCAATCCTTGGACAGAATCACTTCAGCAGATTTCTTCTGCTAAAGAAAGAATTGGTAAGTGGTTTTTTATAGTCCTATTTCAAATACAGAACTGACTACCTTATTTGTTCACTGGGAAAAAGGACTGGCTATCACATTGTTTCCTTAAGGAAACTTAAAGATGGGGAAGTTAGTATCTAACATCTTCTCCTAGTCCATAACATAATGTAACTTAAGAACATGCTACAATCTTGACATCAAATTATAAACCATTAATTATCTTACTTGACCAGGTAAGAATTTTTCATTTATTCTTTGCTGACACAATATAACTGTTTTATAGGATATGTACTATCCACCATACATCTATGGTGCCCTTAAGTTTCTCATTGCTCTGTGGGAAGTTGTTGATGCCTTTTACTGCTAACAGCGCCATCTGCCCAGCATTGATATTCTTAACAGATTCTGCAAGTATCAATAATGAATAAGAAAGAATAAAAAATAGTTTCATCTTTTGTCTCTCAATTCTTTCATACTGTATACAACTTACACAATCTCACTTCATGGTTTCTACAAGAAGAGAAAAACAGATTTTTTTTTCTTTTTACAGTTTCTGAATCGCAAGTACCTTATAGATATGTTTTATATCTAAAATGATGCCAAACTTTTCAGTTATAATGCATTTTCACAGACGTGTTATATACATATCAGGGCTTTTTGAACTGGTTCGGAAATGGGCATTTTCACCCACAATTTTTAAAAAGAATATTTTAGTGCATTGGAAAGGATATCTTTTTATAAGAATTGCAAATTTTAAGAATTTGGTTTAAATATGAAATAATTTTAATTGGGAATGGGGTCCCATCATAAGCCCCAAATAGCCCTAGAAAAGCCCTGCATAGAGTTACCAAACAGGGTATATTTACACTAAATGCTTTATAAATAAGAACCATGTTTTTATGTCAGGGAGATGCTTGCAACAATTAAACAAAATGTCTGATTATATCATCCTTGCTACATATGATGTCATACTTTATAAAGTCCTTTTCATCCTCACACTGAGTCTAACTTGGATTCAATCAGTTATATTCTAATAGGATTATTTTCACACATTAATTAGGACTCTGAATGAAACCACTCTACGATTTCATTTACACAGGGAAGATAGTTCTTACTTCTGGACTCTTCTCCACACAAAAAAATATTCTTCATTAACCACTATATCTCACCGAGAAACACGCGGTAACTTTTGGCATTGTGGTCATGTCTCCATCCATATGGCCAGCCAATCATGACAGTGTTGTGTCTCAGTCCACCCAAACCAGCGTTCTGGATCCTGAAGAAAAGATACAGAGTTGATTTAATCATTCAGATATGTAACCATTGGCCATTCATCAGTAAATAAGCCCAAAGACTTTACCAAAATTACACATAAACTATCAAAATAGCACATACTGATGCCAAACATACATCATGTATCCAGGTCAGAAATGTCAATTTATTTTATTTATTAAATTTTTATTTTAGAACTGAAAAACAAGAAAGTAATCAAAATCAGATAAGAGTATACAACGACTCACATGTGACACAGTCCCTCTGTGACATTGTTTGATATCACGAGATCAGCAAAGCCTTTTGCTCCTGATGTTTCAACTAGCTTACTCAGAGTCTGAAACACACCATCAAACCAACCTTTACTCTCTCAGTACTAAACAATAAAACTATTTTGACAAGACCGTATTATTCATAGTAAAACCATCAAATCTTCCATTGAAGTTTTGGTTGAAAACATGAAAGTGCAAATAATTATAGCAGTATTCTTATATCCAAGTTCTGTATTGTATGAAATAAGAAGAGAGAACTTCAAGACTGCTTACCTGTTTAGCTGCCTGGGCATCAGCATACCTTTCCTTATAGTCACCTTCCACAACACTGTTGACCAGGGTCAAACCTTTACCTGTAGTAAAAAGTAAAATTTCATAACAAACCTTACACTGCATTACACTACAATACTGTAAACCTTTATCTGTACTAATACTACACCTCATTACACTATAATTGTGCATTTATTCTAAACTAGGCCAAGAGAGTCAATATGTAGCGTCCCACTCAAAATCAAGGGGTGGGCTTATTACAGGACAGTAGTATCAGTGGAGAGCCTCACATATAAATGCTTCATCTGACTTAAAAAAAAAATTTCTACACATGGTCCAAGAAGGATCTTGGCACCCATCCCTTGTTAAATGCTGGATCTTTTCCCTTTTTTAATCTTCTTTTCTCTGTTGTTTTCAGCTGACCTACAAAGTCAACTTACCTGCTTTGAGCTGACTGGCAAAGTTGATCATGTTTGGGTACTTCGGCTGTAGATTATCATCAAGTTTCATCAGGACCAAGATTTGAGGTCTGGAAAAAAACATCACAAGAACCAGTGCGATCAGCATTGTTGATCATACAGGAACGGTAACACACAATTAAAGAATATGACAAGTCAAAGTTAAACTACTTGAGCTTTCAATTTTTCCCTCCTTAAATCCTTCACGAAAAATCTCTAACCTCTTATTCAACAAGTTCAAATTTTAAAAAGATTTACTCATTTTGGATACAAAAAATAGTCTGTTTATACTTTCTTATTCAATCAGTTTTTAATTTTTTATATTGCAAACTATTCTCTTTTCTGTAATTTGATGAAGACTTATGAAAACCTACCTCCAGTTTTTAGTGTGGGGTGGACCCTGTTGTAGTCTAAGTAGGGAATATCTGGCGGCAGACATAGCCAAACCCCGAATACCATCTCCCCATTCCTTCTCAGCCCTGTCCATATAAAAACACAATAAATACATAGAGAGCACAGGTTAATATAAATATACAACCATTTTTGAATAAATGGTTGGGGAGAAAGCATGTCATTATCCCCTGTATCCAGCTGTTGGTGTAAAACTCAAGTATGATATATATATAAACCGATAAAACTTGTAATGTCACTCAATTATGTACCGCTACTATAACCTGAAGATTTAATACAGTGAAAGAAATAGTGCAAAATGTAACGTCATTTTTTTGTCAATTATATAGATATATCTACATTGATATCCAATATGTCAACATTGTAATTTATATCTTGATGTAGATCCTGTGTGTTTGATTGTTGATATTTGAATAGAGCTTGGCATTGTCCATGAACAAATTCATGCAGCACTTTGGGGTAATACAAGAAGTCACAAGAAATAAAAAAAAAACATGATGGTAACAGAAAAAAGACAAATAATAAAATGTCCTCAATAAAAAAGGCACAATTAAGGCAACCTAATATATACAGAGAGCTATGTTAAGTGGAATGGTTTTGAAGTTGTAGTTGAGAAAGAAAAGTTAACACTAATTTTGTGTTTTTATACTATGTTTCCATTGAAACAGAAATTTTTTTTTTTAATAAAATGTTGACAATAGCAAAAGGCACAACTAGGGTACTATCCTAATATATAGAGAAAGTTTTGTTGAGATGAGTGGAACGGTTTTGATGTTATAACCTGGAAAATCCCTCGGATGGATTCATGGACAGGCAGATGGATGGATGGAGCCCAAATTAATATCCCCAATTTTTTAATTCTCCATTATTTCCTTACCTATCAATTTACTTCTGATTCACACCAACAAAATTTATCCATAATACATCATATTTAAGCCAACGCTGAGTGTAGCACTTACCCTTTGTATTCTATATATTTGTAGATAAAGGCAGCAAGAGCAATGGCTGCCAGGGCGTAGTACCAGCTTGATATAAACATCAGAGTGATACACAAGGCCATACCCACTAGTGACAGAACCCTGAAACATAAAGATGGTGAAATTTATTCTGAGCAATGTCTAACATATTTAGGTTCAGTGTTTGAAATACATTTCCCTCCTGTATTCCATGTATAATACAGAGTTATCAGCAAATAGTGAAATTGAATGGAAGCCATTAATGGTAAATCTGAAGAGTGGTCACCAGAGGTAATACTGACCAGTGATAAAACCGGAAGCGTGGCCGCCAGCTAGGTGTCCTCAGTAAAGTCTGAAGGGCACATGCCATATTCACAAAGCCATAACACATCAGGAAAAACCTATAATAAAACAGAGGTATATTACTATCATGAGTTTAACAATCACCTGTGTAAAATAATCACTGATATTTAGTCCTTTATGAGGTTCAGTTCTAACCACAAGGAGTTATATATCACTCTGTATGTAGCTTACTTATACATGACTTGAACAAAATGATGACTTAAAACAAGTTGTCTTGAACTTAATCCAATTAATTCAAAATATGCAAGATATTGCTAATTTCAAAAGCTTACTTCGTAATAAATTCCATAAAACTATACAAATTTGCAGAAGTTTTATATATATAAATGTTCAGTTTGATATTTATAACCTTCTCTTTGTACATTCTTTTGTTGGTTAGAACACACAAGCTAGGACAGATTTTCATCATTCATATTAAGAAGACGTTATTTCAATCATGATTTTAAATTTCAAACTTAAAAACATAATGAAAGCTGAATGTTATACCATTAACTTATATTTGATCAGAAAAGAACCACATCCTTATTGTGCTACATAAGATACTGTATTTACATTGTGATGATGGGAGCGACGTCATCCAGACTTGCGATAAGGATTCCTATTTCTGATATGAGCACAGTCATGATGAGGGCTCGGAAAGGCTCGCCTCGTTTTGTTGTCACACTGAACACCTTTAGGAATGGGATCACTCCGTCACTGCTGATGGCTTGTAGAAGTCGTGGTGCACCTGTTCCATAAGAAGTGGGTTAAATTACATGACAACAAATTACATTGGATCCTAAGTGATGAATGTTTGTAGGATGTGATGTATGTTTTGTACAATAATGTTCAACAGAATGATACTGCCAAAATATATAGCTATCTGGATGTACATTGTGGACAGTCACAGGTATATTGATAAGACCACAACAAGATCTGCTTTAGATTCAGCCTAAGTGTGGAGAGTGTATATATCCAATGAGCCTCTCAAGGCCCTGACCCCCTGTGTGCACCACCTTCTTACTTCCCAAAGTCAGAAAGTTTGCCCTTAGTGTGAGTTGTCTCTATACCTGTAAGACACAGAAAACCTACCTTCAACATGGACATCTACATACCTGTGAGACTCTGGAGGCCTGCCCCCAGTGTAGACAGGAAAGAGCCAATCAGGATGACCCATTCATTAGGCCAGGCTAACTTGGCCACTACCAATCCTCCGTTGATACTTTCACCAAATCTGAAAGATGGACATTATCATTAGTGTCTAAACATTCAAAATAAATGTATTTCCATAAGTTAAATTTTCGTTTCTTTTTAAACCATTAAACCAATACCATGTATCACTATTCCATGTTTCCATGTTTTTGTGTAGCAATGATAACATATTTTCAAAGTTGTTCAATGATCCTAAGACATGTCTTGCTTTTCTACGGAATAGCTGTAAATATCTACCAATCTCTAGCAGCAAAACTAACCATTTTCCTTAAAAGATGAAACTATTTGTTATCTCATTAGTTGTTGGAATATCTAGTTTAGTCTGTTTGATAGCTGTGTTTACCACCTAATAAACAGCCAGGGTCATTTTTTGGTTAGTGTTCCTTGAAGTAGCTACCTCATTAAACAATATACACGATGCCTATTGCATTCTATCCTGGTTGGACATGTTTGACAGGGGTCACTGGTTCTACCCCAGTCTAGACAGGTTATACAGGGAGAATTCCCTTCAGCCTATTGTTGTTAGTGACTTAGAGGTCACTGGTTCTACCCCCAGCCTAGACAGGTTATACAGGGAGAATTCCCTTCAGCCTATTGTTGTTAGTGACTTAGCGGTCACTGGTTCTACCCCCAGCCTAGACAGATTTCACATGGAGAATTCCCTTCAGCCTATTGTTGTTAGTGACTTAGCGGTCACTGGTTCTATCCCCAGCCTAGACAGATTTCACATGGAGAATTCCCTTCAGCCTAATGATGTTAGTGACTTAGCGGTCACTGGTTCTACCCCAGTCTAGACATAATACTTACTTGTCTCTGAGAAGGTCCCCTTCTACTGTACCAGCAAAGAAGATCACACTAGTGATGTCTGCAGATGCTAAGGACTCCAAGCAGTAGAGTTTTATATTTTGAAAGTTTTTGTGCCATGATAACAGATGATGTTTTAACATACAACCACTATATTCTTGTTATCCAGGTTCTCATGTTTTATCTATCTTGATTCTAATATTTCTTTCAACCAGTCTAACACCCAGGTATCCATCCAATCCTGGTTCTCATGGTTTCCTATAAAAACCAAGGGCTATCAGAGATGGGTTATGTTCCCTGAATGGGCCAAAATTTAAATATGACAAAAAACAAAGTGCAATTACTCCTAAATATGCAAAAAAGTTATGGTTCTTGTACACTGCACTTCTATAGCTAGCGTTTTATTTTCATACCTCTTATAATATTTGTGGTATGCTTAGGACAAAATTTAAGTAAGAACAATAACAAAGGGCAATAACTCCTGAATCATGCAAAAAAAAGAGATGGTTCTTGTGCACTGTACTTCTCCTTGTTGAGATCTATCTCCCTATGTCAAGGTCAAGGATACAGACAAACGAGGTTGTTGCTATGGCAGCAATGGTACCAGTTGGTATGGATCTGGAAGCATCAGCCAGGTCTCCAGACCTGTTGGACCCCGCCATGATACCTGTAAGGTGAATCATGAAAATATACCAATACCATGTTTCAAGTTATCTGATAAACCTTCCATCAATATAATGAAAATAAATCTGTATTTTGTGGATGTTTTCTTTCGTGTTTATTTATTGTTTATTTATGTTTTTACCATTAATATTCTTTTTTTGAAATGAGATTTTTTTCCAGTAAGCCCTGGGCAGGTGTTGCCAGTCTGATATGAACATTTGTTTTGATTTTGTATTTTAATCTTATATATGTATATATTTATAACATGCAGAGAGATATTATGTGATGTAATATCATACAATTATCTAGTGTTTACCTGTTCAGGTAAATTCCATGTTTATCACAAATTTACCTGTACAGATAAACTTATGTTTAACAAGTATTTGATTGTACAGGTAAACCATGTTTATCCAATATCTACACACACAGGTAACTTATGTTTATTCAATACTTTCATTACAGATATCAAAGTTTACCCAGCACCTACCTGTACAGGAAGGGAAGTAGATAGCCAGGAGGACCATGAATGATGATGTTATGTCAGCGATGATTTCCGCCTCAGAAGTACCGCTCTCATCTGTACCGATGATTTTATCTTTGCGTGTGTACCTATTGTTCAGGTTTTCTGCAAAATATTGTATGTTATGATGAAATAATTGGTTTTCTATATGTCAGGTTTCTGCAAAAGATCATATGTTATGATGAAATAATTGGTTTTCTATATGTCAGGTTTTCTGCAAAAGATCGTATGTTATGATGAAATAATTGGTTTTCTATATGTCAGGTTTGTTATGATGAAATATTTTGTTTTCTATATGTCAGGTTTTCTGCAAAAGATCGTATGTTATGATGAAATAATTGGTTTTCTATATGTCAGGTTTTCTGCAAAAGATCGTATGTTATGATGAAATAATTGGTTTTCTATATGTCAGGTTTGTTATGATGAAATATTTTGTTTTCTATATGTCAGGTTTTCTGCAAAAGATCGTATGTTATGATGAAATAATTGGTTTTCTATATGTCAGGTTTTCTGCAAAAGATCGTATGTTATGATGAAATAATTGGTTTTCTATATGTCAGGTTTGTTATGATGAAATATTTTGTTTTCTATATGTCAGGTTTTCTGCAAAAGATCGTATGTTATGATGAAATAATTGGTTTTCTATATGTCAGGTTTTCTGCAAAAGATCGTATGTTATGATGAAATAATTGGTTTTCTATATGTCAGGTTTGTTATGATGAAATATTTTGTTTTCTATATGTCAGGTTTTCTGCAAAAGATCGTATGTTATGATGAAATAATTGGTTTTCTATATGTCAGGTTTTCTGCAAAAGATCGTATGTTATGATGAAATAATTGGTTTTCTATATGTCAGGTTTGTTATGATGAAATATTTTGTTTTCTATATGTCAGGTTTTCTGCAAAAGATCGTATGTTATGATGAAATAATTGGTTTTCTATATGTCAGGTTTTCTGCAAAAGATCGTATGTTATGATGAAATAATTGGTTTTCTATATGTCAGGTTTGTTATGATGAAATATTTTGTTTTCTTATATGTCAGGTTTTCTGCAAAAGATCGTATGTTATGATGAAATAATTGGTTTTCTATATGTCAGGTTTTCTGCAAAAGATCGTATGTTATGATGAAATAATTGGTTTTCTATATGTCAGGTTTGTTATGATGAAATATTTTGTTTTCTATATGTCAGGTTTTCTGCAAAAGATCGTATGTTATGATGAAATAATTGGTTTTCTATATGTCAGGTTTGTTATGATGAAATATTTTGTTTTCTATATGTCAGGTTTTCTGCAAAAGATCGTATGTTATGATGAAATATTTTGTTTTCTATATGTCAGGTTTGTTATGATGAAATAATTGGTTTTCTATCAAAAATCTTTAACATCTGGCAAGAAAATCACATTAACAGCAAAAATCCCAACTCAAATTGATTAAGTGAACAGTGTTTCTTGAGTTTTCATGATAGAGCTGAAAATATCAAAAACTACTTCATTTCGGTAGGTAAAACTGGGATAGTAACTACAAGTGTTTTTTTTAAAAAGAAAACTTACCAACAAAGACACCACTGCCCAGACCAGGGATACCAGGGATGGTCTTCGCTGAATGCTCTTCGAAGAAGTCTCCTCGGCAGTCAGTCGTACCATTGAATACACTGCAGTAGCTGGAGAAGATACCTCCGCTAATGTTTGGGCTCTTAGAACACATGAATGTCCCATTAACTTCCACAACTTTAGACGACATCAGCCGGTTACCTAACACACATATACTGCAATACAAGAATACCACATAATTATATTTCTCCCCATACACACACACTGACTTACTACTATGGAACTCAAATATCAGTTATAAAAAACACACAACAAAAACAAAATTTCACTGAATATCCAAAAACATGTTTAATAGATTAAATCATATTATCAAAGGTCTGTACAAAATATAAAGTCAGTTAAAAATAACATTTTGACATTCTTACCAATTGATTTTCAAAATCACTAGAAATTTTATGATTAAATCACTGTTTTTTGATTAATTCCTCTTCCTCTGGATTATATTGTCAAAGTCAGAATCACTCACTGTTGAATTGTTTCTACTTATTGAAGGGAGATAACTCTGAAGGAATTAATCAATAATTTATTAAAAATGAAAATCCCGGATTCTGGTTTAAGATTGAATTGCCTCCAAAATCACTTCAAATTTATTTTATTTGAGTTGTTGGTGTTTCATAAGCTTTCAGGGAAACTGAAATTGCTATAAGTTAATAATTTGTATGTGATAATAGCAAAAAAACCCACCACTGCTCTTGATTTCTATAGTTTCTATATAAAGATAATCTTGTATAAAGCATCACATTTGAAAATAATGTTGATTGAACAAGCCAAAGATTGGTAGATTGACAATCACTGTAATTCTCAACTCTGTAATCAGCTTTGCTTGATTTTGTATCACTTGCCTAACAAAGAATAAATGGAATCACAGAAAGCAATGCATATAATGGCATAGAATTTTCATCAACTTCCAGATCAATAGTTCCATTTTTACTTTTTACTGTAGAAATTCTTCAAGAAGATCATTCTAACAGGACAACTTGTGAATTGTACTACTAATGTCATGATAACATGACAAACTATGGGTAGTATTTGGTAAGGTCATGATAACATGACAAACTCTGGGTAGTATTTGGTAAGGTCATGATAACATGACAAACTATGGGTAGTATTTGGTAAGGTCATGATAACATGACAAACTATGGGTAGTATTTGGTAAGGTCATGATAACATGACAAACTATGGGTAGTATTTGGTAAGGTCATGACAACATGACAAACTGTGGGTAGTATTTGGTAAGGTCATGATAACATGACAAACCATGGGGAGTATTTGGTAAGGTCATGATAACATGACAAACTCTGGGTAGTATTTGGTAAGGTCATGACAACATGACAAACTGTGGGTAGTATTTGGTAAGGTCATGATAAAATGACAAACCATGGGTAGTATTTGGACAGGTCATGATAACATGACAAACTGTGGGTAGTATTTGGTAAGGTCATGATAACATGACAAACTGTGGGTAGTATTTGGACAGGTCATGATAACATGACAAACTCTGGGTAGTATTTGGTAAGGTCATGATAACATGACAAACTCTGGGTAGTATTTGGTAAGGTCATTTTAACATGACAAACTGTGGGTAGTATTTGGTAAGGTCATGATAACCTGACAAACCATGGGTAGTATTTGGACAGGTCATGATAACATGACAAACCATGGGCAGTATTTGGACAGGTCATGATAACATGACAAACTGTGGGTAGTATTTGGACAGGTCATGATAACATGACAAACCATGGGTAGTATTTGCACAGGTCATGATAACATGACAAACTATGGGTAGTATTTGGTAAGATCATGATAACATGACAAACCATGGTGAGTATTTGGACATGACAAACCATGGGCAGTATTTGGACAGGTCATGATAACATGACAAACTGTGGGTAGTATTTGGACAGGTCATGATAACATGACAAACCATGGGCAGTATTTGGACAGGTCATGATAACATGACAAACTGTGGGTAGTATTTGGACAGGTCATGATAACATGACAAACTGTGGGTAGTATTTGGTAAGGTCATTTTAACATGACAAACTGTGGGTAGTATTTGGTAAGGTCATGATAAAATGACAAACCATGGGTAGTATTTGGACAGGTCATGATAACATGACAAACTATGGGTAGTATTTGGTAAGGTCATGATAACATGACAAACCATGGGCAGTATTTGGTAAGGTCATGATAACATGACAAACTCTGGGTAGTATTTGGTAAGGTCATGATAACATGACAAACTGTGGGTAGTATTTGGTAAGGTCATGATAACATGACAAACCATGGGGAGTATTTGGTAAGGTCATTTTAACATGACAAACTGCTGGCAGTACTTGTTAAGGTCAAATAATATCAGACCATGAGTCCCACACCATGAGTCCCACACCACGAGTCCCACACCATGAGTCCCAGACAAGGACTCCATTACTATGAGTTCCAGTCACCATCTGTATAAATCCATCACCTACCTGTTACTCTCTATATTTAGTCCAAGGAGGTATATATGATGTTGTTTGTAGCAAAACTAAAATTATTTTATACTTAACACTGATGGGAATCAGAAAGAAAAGGTAATTAGTAGATAAATTAGCATGTCATTCCTCCAAAATCCGTGATATTAAATCATAGAATTAAAACACGAGTCTTGATAGGAAAATCTCAAAGCACGCCTTGTCGCAAACCTGATTAGGGATACATTTTAAAAACATAATTCGTGGGATTGTCACAAACCTGATATGGGATAAATTTGAAAAACATAATTCGGGGATTGTCACAAACCTGATTTGGGATAAATTTGAAATACACAACTTTGGGATTGTCACAAACCTGAATCAGGGTAACACTGAAAAACAAACCTTTTGTCACCATCTAAAACAGGATTTGGGATAACATTAACTTAAGGATTGTTTCAAGAATTATTAGAAATATTGTCTTAAAAAACTCTTTTAAAAATTATTTTAAGCAAAGTTTCAAACACCATTTCACTAATTACTGACAAATTTTATGTTATATGTGGGTTAAGCTGAACCAAAAACTTTTTGAAATATCTTCAATTATCTGCCCTTGGTTTAGAGGATTGTCCTATACTTACAGGAATGACTTGATGGTAATGTTTAAAGCACATGAGACAATAAACCAGCAGTGATCATTACAAAGAAGGAATGAAAACAATACAAAGGTCAAGAGGTCTTTCAAATTAAAAGTTTTAAATAAAATCATTTATCATCCTTGAGCATTCCCTTGTGACTGTTACTACCATGATAATATCATTCAATAGTTGAGATCAACACCGTTCTCAAACAATCCTCAAAATTGCATGCTCATGAAAGGCCATTCATTTCCAGTAATGAATTTTCACCATTCTGAAGTAGAGACCATCACATAAATGGATTCCCAAAGGAACAAGTGTTTTATGGAACCAACACTGTTTGACAGAGAGGCAGAATAGAGAAACTGACAACAAATTATTCATTTGCATGCTTAAAACTCACACAGAATCCGTGATAAAAAACTATCAACAATCAACGGTGAATATTTATGTTCCAGGCATAACATGTTGCTATGAACGGTTGTCCCCGACTGTTAGATTGAAGAGAAAAGACTAAAAAAAATTAAGAACTTTTAAGAATTGGAAAATATTACATCATAATTAAGCCACAGAAATACCATTTAAAGAGTTTCAGTGAAACTGATGAATACTCCCCAAAAACGACTTTACTGGACAAAATTTTTTAACAAAGAACACTAATTCCGTAATCAAGTTGTTGCAGACCCTGATTTGGTATACTGCACACTTTCATTCATTGCATACATTGTGACCAATGCATGCACAAAGTTGCATGATCCTAGTTTTAATGCAAACAAAGCTATGCCCAGGACACAAAATTTTAACAAAGGGCAATAACTCTGTATCTGAGGGATGATGGGCCCTGACTTTGCTACACTGAACCTTGCTTTTGTATGGCTGATATATATATCTGGTTTCAATATCCTAGTTTAAATGCAGGCAAAGTAATGCCCTGGACACAAAATTTTAACAAAGGGCAATAACTCTGTCATTAAGGCGTTGCAGGCCCTAACATTGGTACAATGCACATTGTCTTTGTATAATCAATGTATTCAGAATGTTTCTTCATCCTTACTTAAATGCAAACAAAGTTTGTCTAGACAAGATATTGTTAACAAAGGACACTAACTCATTAACTGAAGGGTCAAGGGCCCTGAATTTGGTATACAGCACATTATCTTAGTATGATTAATGTATCCACCAAGTTTTAGTATCCTTGTGTAAATGCAAACAATTTGGTGCTGTGGTCTAGACACAAAATTTTTAAAAAAGGGCAATAACTCTCTTATTAAGGGTTGTTGGCCCTTCATTTGATACACTGCACATCGCCGTAGCATGATCAAAAGTGTATACCAAGTTTCATTATTCTAGTTTAACTGTGGGCGAAGTTATGCTCCAGACATGAAAGGAGGGATGGAAAGACAAACAAACAAGGCAGCCACTTAATAAGTAATTCAAGCTGCAGTGAAGTACTGAAACTTGCTCTATAATTAATGTGAAATATGAAAAAATACCCTTTAAGGAAAAAAATCTGTGGTTAATGGAGGATAATAATGAGAATTCTGAGCACTGCATGGTGTTAGTTAGGTCAGAGGTCAGAGGTATACACAGAGAAAGGTCAGAGGGCATCACACTGTACCAATGTTTACCTCGTCAATGTTAAATCTACAGTGTTGCATCAGTAACATGCTGAAATAAAACAAACCTCGTCATACATGCTTCAACAATACCTACTAAAGTATATAACATTTAGTACTAAAACATATAACATTTAGTACTTAAATATATAACATTTAGTACTTAAACATATAACATTTAGTACTTAAACATATAACATTTAGTACTTAAATATATAACATTTAGTACTTAAACATATAACATTTAGTACTTAAACATATAACATTTAGTACTTAAACATATAACATTTAGTACTAAATATATAACATTTAGTACTTAAACATATAACATTTAGTACTTAAACATATAACATTTAGTACTAAATATATAACATTTAGTACATTTCATACAGACAACATTTAATACATTATCTTCTAACATAACTAACACCTTATATGTTGTCCTTACAGACAAAACATTTCCTACATTACAGACAACATTTAATACACCATTCCATACAACACCTAATATGTTGTCCTTACAGACAAAACATCTAATACGATATGTGTATTCCGATATGTATACTCTCACCAGATACCTATATATAACAGAGATGTGTAACTTTCGCAGTTCCTGCTAAATCATGCATGTTACTAATAAATATTGTGAAGTTTACATGCTTTATTGAGTAATATGTTAAAACACAGCGTTAGAAGTGTCGATACATCCTACAATTGTGTGTCACATAGGCCACAGAATACATCACACTTTCATTGTCAAATACTGTAATAAATCAACAAAAAAGTCTCGCATTCTTTGAAATAATGGTCATAATTCTGTTTTAACTGTTACAGGAAGATCAGATTGCAGCGGAACCTGCATCCAATGATTGCAGGTCTCGTTTATTCAGAACAGGCTAAATATTCTCTGTTACATCTGTGAACACACAATTCTTTACAAATGAGATCTGGTTACTCTATACAAAGGAACTGGTTACTTATCTCTCTGTTATATAGGTCTCTGTTCTCACAACATCTACACAGACAATACAGTTTCACAAGAAACACCAAAATTCCAACATTATTTGTGAGTGTGAATCAGCTGATTAAAAAAAAAGAAGTATTCTCAGATATTCAAGTGAAATATATTTAGTACTCCACCAGAAACCATTCAATTTTCTAATTCTAACATTTTCAAAGTGCGACGATAGCATATTCTGACAGGTATGATAATTCGGCTCTGCTTCTCGACGTATTTAATTCAGCTTGGGTCTGCTGTATTGTCTTGGGAGGATTATTTCGACACAAATGTTTTGTGTAATGTAATACCTTGGTGTTACCAATATGTGACATAGGAGAATGTATCCCCTCATCTGAACTGAAAACAGTTTTAAAAAAAAAAGCGAGTAGAAAGTTCTGTGATAAAATGACAATAACAGAAGTATTGATACCTTGGTATTCTGACTTTTATGTTTATCATTTGTGATTGTTGTCGAAGTAATTTTCATTTCAATGTTTATTTCAATGATAACAAATCTCCAAACACAATACTGACATTCTCACGTACACAACATTTGATACAGGATCACTGATCCTCATCTCATTGACGTTAACGTGTGAGAAGAATTTTACTGACTGGATTTGAAAAGTACTACTTACGATAAACTACTGTCCGGATTGGCTACGAAGATGCCGATATATATACAGAAGATCGAGAGAATGACACAGGCGAGAGACAGGGCAGCAAATTTACTGACGAAGGTGACGCCTATAAAAACAATGATGGCCAGGAGAATGAGAACACACGTCCCGTATACACGATAGTTGTTAAAGGCATTGGCTTGTACATCCATATCACCAAATATGGACATCTGGGGCGCCATGTATTTCTGCAAAAAAAAAGTATTGCCTTTGTTACACAAAATCTGCTGATGCATGTTAGCAGTGAAAAGCATTCTACCTCTATGAATGTAATATGCACAAGAAAAACTGTCTAAATATTCTTTTGTCACCATTTGTTTTCATCGAAATGAAACTAACACAAGTATAAATATCGGTGAAATAAAACTTATCATTTGATATTTTGTTATACTCATTAACCAGGATTTGAGGTGTTGGGGTTGGGATTTGAGGGGAACTCTGATATCAGAATTTGCGATATATCAACAAAAATATGGTGATATTTACAATTTGTGAGATTTGGGAATGTAGGGTTAGGACTTGTAAGATTTGTGAGGATATGTGGCTAGCATTTGTGAATTGTGGGAAAACCAAGTTAGCTTTTGTGACTAGTGGAGTTATATTGTTTGAATCTAGATTTTAGACTTGGGGAGATATTGAGCAAATATTGTAATCTGTGGAAAAAGGTGTTTGAATTTATAGTATTTGGAAAAAGGTGTTTGAATTTATGGTATGTGGAAAAAGGTGTTTGAATTGGTGATATGTATTGAAATTAGGTAAGGATTTATTTGTAAGATATGAGGAGTTGGAGCTACAATTTGTGATATGTTGGATATAGGGTCAGCATTTGTGATTTATGAGATATGGGGTTGGGATTTGAGACATATGAGGAGATGGGGTTAGAATTGGGTATGGGAACAGGGTCTGTTGAGGTATGTAGTCAGTTAGGGGTTCAATGTCACGATAGGAAATTAACATTTTCAGAAAGTAGTACATGCACTGAAGTGATAATTTAAAATATGGATGACAGGTTTTGATTGAGAATGTGAAAGTATGACTAAACGATGGGATGAATTTTTTTGTGTTTTGTTTTTGGGTGTAAAGGGAAGAAGTATAGGGTTATCTACTAAGTATATGTACTTGATAATTAAGAACAGCAGTAGGACTTATCACTTCTCTGTGTAAAAGCATACATTTATAAACATGATATATCTATCCCAACATTCTCCTTAATTGTACTTGACATTTATGTAACATGACAATGCCTACAAACACGTCTGGACTAAATAGTTACCACCAATATCTCGATAGATCCTATGATATACATTGACGAAGCCACTGTTGTCCCCAGATAGAAGAGAATCCCGACAGCTCCACCAAACTCTGGTCCAAGAGCTCGAGATATCATAAAGTATGACCCACCTCCAGGAACCACACCATTGGTAGCAATGGCACTCATCGATATCGCTGTCAACATTGTCTGCAAATGACATGTTTGTTATTAGGAAGCAGCCAGCAAAAATTACATAGTTACAGTTTGGTAGTTTCTGATAATGTACACCATAAATTGTGTGTCAAATTGCTGTCTGCAGAAGTTTGAATCACAATCCTAAAGGCCTGTTTTAGACATCAGGAGTGGTGTTAGACTAATCCCCTACTGAGAATCGATGAGAAAAATATTGCAATTTCATGTTTTTAAAAGATGAAACATTTTACAAAGAGTCTCCTGATCAATAGATATTTTCAAAGAAATAAAAAGATCCATTAAAATCACAAGATATACAACATCCAAGGTAATGTTACACTTTCATCTGTACCTAACTGTAGAACTGATTCATCTAGACACTTAATTGTGTGTTCATTAAATCTGGTTCACTCAGACACTTGTTTGTGTGTTCAGTAGAACTGGTTCACTCAGACACTTGTTTGAGTGTACAGAAGAACTGGTTCATCCAAACATGTGCTTGTGTGTTCAGTAGAACTAATTCACCTTGACACATGTTTGTGTGCTCTGTAAAACTGTTTCATCCAGACACACGTTTGCATGTTCATTAGAACTGGTTCATCCAGACACTTGTTTGTGTAATCAGGAGAATCGATTCATCCACCAGCATCCTGTTTAATACTACATATTTTTTATATCCTGAATATGTTACTTACTGTGCAACAACAGATGATGACAATTCCCAGCCCCTCCAGCGCTCCAGCCATACCAACAATCCATGTCATACGGATAAAGAGCAGCACACCAAAGATGTTTTGTATGGTAGGTAGGTACACACCAAGGAGGGTTCCTAGTTTGACCTGAAATCAATGTTAAAATGTCAAACAAAGTTCAAACGATGAACAGAATACTTAACCGTGAGCATATGATTCAAAGAAATTACAGGCATGCAATCTGAGTTTTGGTAAAAAAAAAAAGTTCCATCAAATAAACCATGACAATGTCAGTCCTGGAATAGTTTTCATAACTGATCACTGGTGATCACATGTCATCTCTAGAGCTTCCTAACAGATCACTGGTGATCACATGTCATCTCTAGAACTTCCTAACAGATCACTGGTGATCACATGTCATCTCTAGAACTTCCTAACAGATCACTGGTGATCACATGTCATCTCTAGCACTTCCTAACAGATCACTGGTGATCACATGTCATCTCTAGCACTTCCTAACAGATCACTGGTGATCACATGTCATCTCTAGAGCTTCCTAACAGATCACTGGTGATCACATGTCATCTCTAGCACTTCCTAACAGATCACTGGTGATCACATGTCATCTCTAGCACTTCCTAACAGATCACTGGTGATCACATGTCATCTCTAGAGCTTCCTAACAGATCACTGGTGATCACATGTCATCTCTCGAACTTCCTAACAGATCACTGGTGATCACATGTCATCTCTCGAACTTCCTAACAGATCACTTAGGTCAAGTCAGAGAACATGTCCAACAACTGTTGTCAATCACTCATCACCAACATCAAAATTTCCAGAAGAGGACAAAAAGAAACAAAAATAGCAGAGAAATCATTTTAAGTCAAAATAATATCAGAAAATATCTCCATTGATTTATAGTGATCAACTTAACATGCAATTGTGCAAAAAAAGAAAGAAAGAAAGGAGAAATGGAAATCATTCACATGATAATGATCATGTAATTTAAATATATTTTCAAGAAAAACTCATTCAGTTAGTATGCACCATGCTACCTAAAATCATTGATCAAAAGCTAAATGAGAGAAAAAAATAGAAGCATGAAAATACAAAGCACCACAGGAGCTTGTGTTAAAATACTTAACAGTACTATTTTTAAAAATGCCATTGACTTTGGCTTTAATTGGATCTTGTAACAAGAGTGCATCAGCTCAGAAAATGTCTGAGATCTTCAGTCTACTAGACTCTAAGATTGAAGTGAAAGTTTTGATGGACAGACACAGGACAAATTATAATCCAGTATCCACTTGGTTTGGTAATGGTGGTAAGCTTAAAGATGAAATGTATTGTTAAGTCCTAAAGACACGTGACCTTGAAGATATCCTGACAAGGTGAACGAGAATCACACCTATTGAGAACATTTGATGGACAACTACATCAGTTAATGGGAATTGTGATAGGTTGGTTTATGTTGCCGAGGACCAATCAAGTAGCTGTCACTGTAAGCCCTTGATTCTGCCACTATACCATCTAATGGTGTAGAGAAGTTATGTCACATTGACAGTAGAACTGATATCAACTGAGAATCCATTTAATGATGCAATCAAAACAAGAACCACATAGGATAACTTTACTCATTGTTATACAATATTTTCATTTAATATATATAATGCCTTAACATATATACTATACTCCTGGCACCTCACAATATAACAAATCCAATCCAATGATTGGTTGGTGAAGCACTTCCTCCTCATTCACATCAATTTGGAAGTTGATAGCGAAGCCTGATCCAACAAATGTCCACTCCATATATCTCCATTATCATACACTCCTAGTAGGATCTATATTTCACATTCAATTCTAATTCCACCGTTATTTTTTCAGGGGAAAGTCTATTGTATATGTCCCCACCACATAGATGGCTTCTACAACACACAGTCTATCTCTATATTTCAGAACAAAATATCATCAAGGTTTGAAACCAGCTTTCTATTGAAGCATTCTAGCACCAGCTATATGAAACATGGAGAAAGAGCCGAGTCCCTCTGAGAATGAGTTAAAAGACATATCATGTACTCAAAGATTAATCCAGAACTTGGGAAAATACTACCTTTTGTTGGAAAAGAAGAATGTTTGGCCTATTTCGAGAAATAGAGGAATCTTTAACAATCTTTTTTGTCAGAATTCAAAAAATGGATAGATATGATGTACAAGAAGATTACATGAATAAAATACGACAATACTGAGGTTAGATTCATAGTTCTTTTTAATGATGGTATGCTCAGAAAACAACTTCAGTAAAAATATACTAATTAGCTCTGTTTTGGGGTAAATTTTCCCTAAATTTCCTCACATTTTCAATATATTTTCTTGATTGGGAATTTGTTTATATTTAGAGGGAAAACATACCACAAGGAGAATAACACACCTTTTCCAGTACTTAAGTATTCTATTATTGAAATTGACATTATAATAAAACTCGTTTGTGTCAAACACACCTGAATAGAATACATCGGATGAGTTGAGAGTTTTGTTTGATTCTAATTTTTTCTGTCTTCTTTATCTTAGTAAATTAAACACAGATGATAGGAACACTGTTGAATCAAAAGCTGCACCTATATGAAATATATTCTTTGGTCCATCAATTCTAAATTCTACCAAAATTTCCCGTCATTGTACTGATTATTCAGGCATCACTTTGTCTCAGGTTTCAATTTTCTGGCTTCGGTCCCAATGACTAAGTGCGATTGCTCAGCTGTAGCTGTGTTATCAGGTATTATATAAGTTTCTAGTATTGATCGTACATTAATCCCTGCATTTGTTCAGGTGCACAGGTGAAGGTTTGAAAATATATGTACAGGTGCACAGGTAAAGGTTTGAATACATATGTACAGGTGCACAGGTAAAGGTTTGAATATGTATGTACAGGTGCACAGGTGACTCTTTGAATATGTATGTACAGGTGCACAGGTGACTGTTTGAATATGTATGTACAGGTGCACAGGTGAATGTTTGAATACAAATGTACAGGTGCACAGGTAAAGGTTTGAAAATGTATGAACAGATGCACAGGTGACTGTTTGAATATGAATGTACAGGTGCACAGGTAAAGGTTTGAATATGTATGTACAGGTGCACAGGTGAAGGTTTGAATATGTATGTACAGGTGCACAGGTAAAGGTTTGAATACATATGTACAGGTGCACAGGTAAAGGTTTGAAAATGTATGAACAGATGCACAGGTGACAGGTGCACAGGTGACTGTTTGAATATGTATGTACAGGTGCACAGATTAAGGTTTGAATACATATGTACAGGTGCACAGGTAAAGGTTTGAATACATATGTACAGGTGGACAGGTAAAGGTTTGAATACATATGTACAGGTGGACAGGTAAAGGTTTGAATACAAATGTACAGGTGCACAGGTAAAGGTTTGAATACATATGTACAGGTGCACAGGTGAATGTTTGAATATGTATGTACAGGTGCACAGGTAAAGGTTTGAATACATATGTACAGGTGCACAGGTGAATGTTTGAATATGTATGTACAGGTGCACAGGTGAATGTTTGAATATGTATGTACAGGTGCACAGGTAAAGGTTTGAATATGTATGTACAGGTGCACAGGTAAAGGTTTGAATATGTATGTACAGGTGCACAGGTAAAGGTTTGAATATGTATGTACAGGTGCACAGGTGACTGTTTGAATATGTATGTACAGGTGCACAGGTAAAGGTTTGAATATGTATGTACAGGTGCACAGGTAAAGGTTTGAATATGTATGTACAGGTGCACAGGTAAAGGTTTGAATATGTATGTACAGGTGCACAGATTAAGGTTTGAATACATATGTACAGGTGCACAGGTGAATGTTTGAATACAAATGTACAGGTGGACAGGTAAAGGTTTGAATACAAATGTACAGGTGGACAGGTAAAGGTTTGATTATGTACAGATGTACAGTTGATGGTTTGAAAATACACGACAGGTGTACAGGTGAAGGTTTGTATTTATATGTATAGATGCATAGCTGAAAATTTTAATATATATGTAAAGGTGCACAGCTGATTTTCCACACTTTAGTCAGTCAGTTTATGCACATGGCAAATGTGACGTCTGTAGAAGGAAAGTCTGGTGAGGCAGAAAATCAAATTCATCACAAACATGGCTTAATGTTAGCCAATGTAGGGGCTAACTAACTTAAGGAGACAGATTTATGTTATAATTACTATGTACTTGTTTCTGAATCCTATCATTATTGTATAATGTATGTACATTTGTAATATAGGATGATAAAATAAACTAAAGGGGATTGCTCTGAAATGCTGGCAGGCTACATACTAGCCTACTGAAGACCTGGGGCAGCTAGAATGATTCAGTCTCAATGTAACACAAATGATATAAAGTCATGTCTAAACATCCCATTCACACAAATCACACGCCAATCTGGTTAAAGCAAACACACAAATCCACAATTAAAGTGCTCCAATCTGATGAAGGTTGCAAGCACTTAATTTTCATCTGTCACATCAATTTCACTTTTTTTTTCTGCATTGATATTGGCTTGATCAACAAAATCTGTAATTAAGAATTAGGTATAAAAACATTTGTTATTTGGTCATGAAATTGCATGCAAACCACTAAATCATGGAGCTAAAAAATGTTAGCAAAATGTCACACAAATGTTGCGGATGTACTCTAGTGCAGCATTTCTGGAGGTTTAAACTTTAAATAAAACAATAAAACAGGGGAAACATTCATAAAATATTTGTAATGTGCTAAATCATATAAATGAATCCTTCTATAATAGAAAAATGTAAAAATTTCAATTTTAATTTCAGTTTTTACCTGCAAGAACCGAGATGGACAAATATTTATGGTAACAAAATATATCCAAACTTTAAGTAGATACATGGACTTAGAATTCGAAGCTATTGTAGGCATAACAAGCACAAGTTGTAATTTTCAAAAAGAGTTCCTTTCATTTTTGTAACATTATCATGTTCATATATATATTTATATATTTTTTCCCTTAAAGAGTTATTTCCCTTGTGCAGGTACTAATATCATTAGGTTTAAGCTATATATATCTAATTCTTGTTTCACCACAATAGAAAGATTGGTACTTAATCCCAAGTCTGACCGCAGATTTTTCTACTTTATATCATTCAAATATAAACTTTTCTTTAAGATGTTTATAAATAAATAAATAATCATATTTAAACAATAAAACTTTTAAAGGAATGAGGTACATGTTCAATATATACGTCCATGTTCAAGATACTGATGCTAAAAGTGGACTAAAGGAATTCAAATAATAGACAAAAATACTGCATGACATATTTGACAATAAAAATTTCATAGCGATTGAAAAATCTACAAAGCATCAAGCAACTGTTCATACCTTGTCAGGAGTATTCTACAAACAAATTAAGTATACACAATGTCATGTTGTAATGTATTACCTATGTGTAAGGGACATAAAACCAGATTTCTGATAACAATATCTCAGCACCCAACACTGTACAATCTTCACTGGTTTTATGTGAGCGAGTTATTTTCCCTTATTTTCTTATTTATTGCTCTTAATTTTTTGTTGTATTGACAGGTGAGTTAATTATCGGCCATTTTGAATTTCTGATCTGTCAAAAAAAAAATTAGGCAAGGCACATCCTGGGGCCAAGTGGTACATACATACAAAAGTTTGAGAATAATTGATCACCTCGCACTTCTCAGGAAAGCGTGATAACAAACTATCAAAAACAAAGATGGCTACAGCGGATATTTTGACTTTCTGATCTGTTCTAAAAGAATGCACAACTAGGGATCAAGGGGACACCTATGCATGAAATCTAACAATGATCCATTTAGTACCTCTCAAGAAATAGTGCTTGTAAGAACTGTATATGAATGGATGGATGGACAATAGATGCACAGAACATCTAAACAGCCTGCCATCTAATGATGGTGGGCTGAAAGTTCCCCTCCTCTTCAGCAAGAAATAAAATTGGTACACTAATGTACCATATTTTCCAGGTTATAAACTGCACCAGTATATATACTATGTATTTTGAAATCATTATTTCTAATTTTTCTCTTTCTGTATCATCATCCCATTTGATTCCAGTAAATATTTGGTATCCTTGAATATACTTCAGGGGTTGAGTGGCCAAATACTCACCTATTAGGATATCAATATGAAAATGTGTGGTACACACAATCACCTGTCACTTGATTCATTCTATCACACTTTGCACAGAATGACAGGTACATTCTATAGAATTACTGTTTACATAATATTACTGTCAGAAATGATATGTCTGACCCCAAACATTCCAAATAAACGCTACATACATGTATAACATGACCCCACACAGTCCCAGTTATTTTTTACACCATGTACCTTTTTTTATTTGAGATTTAATCAATGTGAAAACATGTTCAATAATTTTTTTTTTGAAAATCCACTTCTGTAGATAATCAATATGCTGTTTTACTTCCTTCATACTATAAACATATACCAGATATATCATCAATAATAAATCCAGCAAGCCAATATCCATTAGGTCAGACTCAGGGGTCCCAGTTATTGTAAAACAATGAAATTAAATTCTTATTGCTTCTGCTAGGATTCAAACCCAGGATATCTGACTTAGTAGTCTACTGCTCAACCAGTGTAGCCAAAGAGAAGCTCTCTTTAGCCTTTGTAATTCTACAACAATGGATATGGGTTAGTTTATCACTAAGCATGGGCCTAACGCCACGCGAATGTAGTATGTGTAATACATGGTAATGTTCATATTGAAATTTATCACCAACAATTATATCAATATCGTTAATCATTGATGTATATCATCAAAATCCTCTTAATAAAGCCTCTTGGGGATAATATAAATAAAATATTTTACGGATTCTTAAAAAAATGTAAATCCAGCAAGGTTCTGTACAGGAGTTTGTAATTTCCTGTAGGACATTAACGCTAGAACCAAGTTCTAGACAACTGTATTCAATGCTTCTTTTGAATGTACATTGTACTTCTGTAGAATATAAATAGTGGTTTTCCGACAGTTAAGATTTCTCTAAGGTTCTATAACCATTTTCATGGATACAGTCAGAGAAGACTGTATTATCTTATTGCTGCAGGGTCTAAATTGGAAAACAAACTGGAGAGATCATTGCAAGATTACATTAACTTGAAATAACATGCAAATGTTGGCAAGATTCAAAGTTTTCTTGCCATTTTTTAGGATTAGTGTTCAGCCCTAGCTAACAGGTGGGCACTTCAAGTATTCCTATAAACATTGTATCTTCCAATTCTGATAATTTTAATTCAGTAAAATACATCCACAAGAATTTATTTCCATGGAAAAAGTTGCCAAACAAAGAAAATTGTTTTTACCAGACCTCTCAGTCTGAAGTTACCATATTAAACTCCGGGAATATGTGGAAACGATACACCAAAGAAAATAGACAAAATACACTGATTAATGGTGGGTAAAGTCTCAGTTGATGCCAGAATCTCGCAGTGGAAGTGATTTTATATGGCTACCTAGGAATCATTAATAAGAATTACTACACATTAATCCTGTCAGGGAATTTCAGTCTGAATACTGTACGGAAAAATGATGGTACATATTGTATACAGAAAATTTCTCTAACCAGCTCGTCTGCACACCATACGTCACACATCAATGCTTCATTTACAAAAGAAATTGATCAAACATGAGTTCCCATTTCATTAGGTATCTTAATAGATGTGTTACAGGGTATAATCTGTATATGCTGTTATTTACTAATAGTTTATTACATATATATACATAAGGGGGCTTATTAATGGTTAAATGTAGCTGGTTATTAATGAAATAAACTACTAGTTTGTATTGTTCTAGTCTGGTAAAGTTTAGTCGTTCAGAGCTGTAACGTATAATAACATTTATTCAACATTTCTAAATATGTAATTTGCGCTATTTTGTAGGTTAACGTAAGTCTGTCATAAGAGTTATTTCCCTGGTTTAAACACGGTCAGGTCTATAGTATATACATGTATGTGTCGGAGAGCGAGAATTTATTGTCTTTTTGTGTTTTACATTACAGGGTTTTGTTTCTATTATACATCATGGGAAATAAAAATGCTGTGAGAATCCACCCAATGCTCCTTGTGTTCTTTTGCTAGAAACCAAGAATTTTAACAGATATATCAATTTTTTGCATACCATTTAATCTATACATTCCAGATCAGGATTGTTCCTTTGGATGGTCCAGACAATCTTCTGTAAATATTATCTACTAGAACTTTCTATAAATATGAAGTTAAATGATACTGCTACACAATCACTCACACTACACTAACATAATAATGCTGTGATTAACAGGTCTAGGGAAAATCTAAGGTGATAAATCATCACCAGAAAATTCCTAACCAAATGGTGCATGACAAATCGATTCCAGATTGAAATAAACTTTAATCGAGATTTCTTGTCTAGAGATTTCAAACTTTCAAAGCATTAACAGCAGAACTTCTATTTCACTAAACCCAGAAATTGACATACTCCTTTAGAAACAAAAAATCTAAAAATCAGAAATAGCAATTTGAAACCATTTTTTTTGCACTTTGGGTGAATTAAGAAATGTGTGTAATTTCAATTTTAACTTCACTAACAGTCAGAAAATTTAGTTTAGAGAATGTGTTACAGTTCTGGTATTTCTCTTGCACGCTCTGAAAATGTGAAGCCCACATGAAAATTTTTAATTTTAATAAAGTCAAGATTGACATTTACTGAACCATGGTGTCTGACTAATCCAAACTTAATCTACAGTTATACCAAAGTGTTACAATACTACGTACAAACAGAGAAAGCCAGAAAAAAATTGTATTTTTTGTATATGTAACATTCCAATGTATTGCTGTTTTAAAGTTAATGCACTGACATAGTTCCTTGTTTCTAGACAAAAATCTTCAATATGCCTGCAAGTGTTAAATGACAATATAAAAATAATCATAACTTTCATATACATTTTCAAACTAATTCCCCTACATTGAACAATAACAAGAGGCATAGAGGGCCTGCGACCCCACCTGGTATCCATTACTTTCACAATACAATTCGGGCTAATCATAAATCATCTACTGTGATTGTTTTCTGGACAACCTACATATCTGATCCCACCTCAACTGGTTTTTAATTAGAACTTGTTTAAATTTGAAAAGTTTAAGGTGAAAGACAACGGATATACACCTCACCACAGCATAAGCTCTTTTGATCCTTTAGACTAGCTCAAGGTGAGCCCAAATTATCTACCGGTACCTAAAAGAATTATAATCCTTCTCGTCGGGAGATATTCTCTTTTACAATATTTCATACACACTGATCTGTTTAACAGGAGTTTCCATTAATCACAACAAGAACATTCAAAAACACACACATTTCTGTCATGGCAATTGCAGCTAAATGTGTGACCACTGAGTGAAAATGTTTCACACCTATAACGTAATTAATGCTCACCTGTTTAGGTTTGTCACTGTACTGCTCACTAATGTTTGGTTCAATGCCAGCTTGGTAATTAGAAATTCTATTGATGATCTGTGAAATCTTTCCTCTTTCTGACAAATCATCCTGTAAATAAAATCACCATACAGCTACTTCACTAGACAATTACAAATCAGTGTCGAGAAAAACCATCACACATCCTGATAACCAGAAACTGTGCCAGTGACTGACAGCTTCAGAGATGGAAAATATTAAAAATATAAATTCCAATTTTCAGCAATTTTGATTTACTGTCAAGATTAGGAAGGGAGATTTTTTTTTTTTTTTCTATTTTTAATTTTTCTTTTGAGTGATATTGATTAATCTAACAGACATATACACACTTAGTCCATTTGATAACAGGATTCCAGTCTGAATGTCCTATATATTTCATTTCACAGGTAATTGAAATTCAATAAAACATTGACTAATGTCTGCTTAAAAACTGTTCACAACCTCAAAAATATTTTCTTTAGTGATGTCAGTTGAACCGGTGCATAAAAATACAAAGTTTTAAAAATTCTAACACTGTAAACCTTAAACCAACATTGGGTTGATATTCTTATTTTCTGCTCTTGTTTGCTTTCATAGTTAGCCAAGCCATGCTTAGAAAAATTCAGGCCGTTAGAGCCCTGACCTTGCTTTGGAGCGTCTAAACCTGACTATGGTTCCAGACAGATTCATCAGGAAGACAGTTTCATGGTGGTCAGCATGTGTTTTAATGTATTAAGCGTTGATCTAGAGACGCAGATACATGTGATCTCTTTATACCGAACAACCCGTAATTTTGCCTGTGACAGTGAGTCTACATCCTGCAGCCTTTGTTAAATTCAGACATTCTGTCTCATCACTATTTTCCTTATGCCTTGTTCCAGGCTTATGCTGTTTACAACAATACTTTACAGGTTGTGGAATCTAATAAGGTTCGGAAATTGCCATATTAATAAAAGAGCTGATGAATAAAGCGATGAGGCCTTCGCTAGGATGAAAATTTATGCTTTTCTTTTCCTAACCTAGATTAAAATCCATAAATCTTGCTAAATTTGGTGATGTACACAAGAGAACCTTCAGAGGAGTCCACATTCTATTGATGGAACAGAACGTTGACCATTTCACTCCAGGGTTATTAATCGTGGCAGTAGATTCTCTGAACGTAACATGGTTATACAGAGGTTACTTAAATAGCTTATCAACCTAACAACCATAATACAATATTAAGATATACGTTCTATACACTTATATGTCCAATTATGGTTTTCTTGAAAAGTATCATAATAGTAAATTATGAAATTCTTATATCTGTGGAACTGTTAAAGAATTTGGTGTAGTATAAAAATAGGGAAGATAAACAAGCTGCCCAGACAATCTGGATTGCTCACAGCGGCTGTGAACACGAGTTATGTGCTTAAGGCCAGGTGTATACAAAAACTTGATTAAATTTTCATAAACTACATATAAATTCTCACTAACAACTACGATGCTTGTGAACATTAAAGTGTTGAAAGGTAATTGATTTATCAAAAGAAGATCATAACATGTTCAAGTATCCTGTATTTAATGAGTGTAATTTATATAAATAAATACTGATAGTCCATTTCCTCATTTCTCTGCATTATAGTTTCTTAATCCTTGGCTTTATGTTTCCTTAAAAGAAGTTGTTTAATTCTTTTTATGCTCATTTCCTTGGTCACTACCAGAAGTAATTGCCATGTTGATCTTTTGTACACGATTTATGATGGTGTAGTTCTTGTAACATCAATATATCACCATTTATTTGTGGCAATCTATTATATGAAATGAGTGGAAACATGTTCACTGATCATCGACATAAAAATACCATGAATACTTGTTGATCTGCTTGAAGTATAAATCATTTGTAAGTTATCACTCATTTTAACTTCATTTTTTTGTTGTGTACACAAGTTACATATATTCTTGTGTTGTGGCGACTCATTTGTGTGTATCTAATTGATTTGGATAGTTTTATTCAATTTTTCCAGTTATCAATGACCTATAAATTGAAAGTAAAAAATCTCAGTCCTCCATTTTGTTGTCGGTGTAAACAACCTGACAAGAACCAGCTATTCTCCATGCCTTTGGCTATTTCAACAATGAATATGCTTGTAACACAGGAAGTTTAAAATCATGATTCTGTTTTTGATACTTTCTATTTTATATATCAATACATATTTCCTCACAATGGAAAGAATGCAAACTTACTGTTACCTGTCAAAATGTCATGAAGGATAGAAAAGCATTTCTCTATGATGACCCAAGACATCATCAGTACAGAAAGAGTTCATGAAAGCAGTTGACCATTGGAAGACAAAAAACTGATGGCGAGTTTTGGAATTATTGCTACCATATAGCATTTGTAGCCAAAATACCATTCCATTGAAAAATAATTTTGTAACAAAACTCCTTTGAAGCAAGGGTTCAACAATGCCTTTTATTGTTGTTTGGACATACCTCATAAAGCGCCATCTGGTGTGAGAAGGGAGATAACTCATCATTGCTGGCAAGGGGTTCATTGTCCTTGTTCCGCTCGCTATCTTCCCCTGAAAGAAGTAAATCTATAAGTTAGTGGCGATTCATTCATAATTCTTCTTTTAATAAAGATTCAATTTATAGTTCTCATTTTGTGTTTCCTCCAGAGTAAGAAAATCCAACCTTCCAATAACACTGACTTACTAAATAATGAAATCTTGTAGCATCACCTATATAGCTACTTCAAAAGTATCAAGCCTTATTCAAATTCTTTGAAACGCAGAACATACAAGATATCGGTTTAATTCATTTTTTTCCCTCCTGACACTGAAATCAATGAACATATATCTGTATGAGGTGTTGTTTCACTTTGTTGGTATACATATTTTATATGTGAAGTGATGAATTAGACTTTTGTCAGGCTATAAGGTTCTGACAGAACTCCAATTTGTTGTACAAGTTGGTGTTACAGACCATTATAGTCTGCAGATCATCAGTCACATGAAGTGTACCATGATAGTGACACATCTCTCAATGGTGTTAAGTCAGAAAAACACCAAGACAATGCCACAAGCTTAACAAAACTGTTATGTAAAACCAAAATCAATAAATGGAGAGCAACACATGAACAAAGGACAGAGAAATTCTCAAGATCAGGTGTTCCAGCTAGAGTAAACATCCCCTCCATTATCATGACACAATCTCTTACAGCAGGTAAGCTAAGATCACAAGTGGCACTATCTTTCTACAGGTAAGCTAAGATCATAAGTGGCGCAATCTTACTACAGGTAAGCTAGGACCACAAGTGGCACAATGTTACTACAGGTAAGCTAGGACCACAAGAGTGGCACAATCTTACTACAGGTAAGCTAGGACCACAAGTGGCACAATCTTACTACAGGTAAGCTAGGACCACTAGAGTGGCACAATCTTACTACAGGTAAGCTAGGACCACAAGAGTGGCACAATCTTACTACAAGTAAGCTAAGACCACAAGTGGCACAATCTTACTACAGGTAAGCTAGGACCACAAGAGTGGCACAATCTTACTACAAGTAAGCTAAGACCACAAGTGGCACAATCTTACTACAGGTAAGCTAGGACCACAAGAGTGGCACAATCTTACAGCAGGTAAGCTAGGACCACAAGTGGCACAATGTTACTACAGGTAAGCTAGGACCACAAGTGGCACAATCTTACTACAGGTAAGCTAGGACCACAAGAGTGGCACAATCTTACAGCAGGTAAGCTAAGACCACAAGTGGCACAATCTTACTACAGGTAAGCTAGGACCACAAGAGTGGCACAATCTTACAGCAGGTAAGCCAAGACCACAAGTGGCACAATCTTACTACAGGTAAGCTAGGACCACAAGAGTGGCACAATCTTACTACAGGTAAGCTAGGACCACAAGTGGCACAATCTTACTACAGGTAAGCTAGGACCACAAGAGTGGCACAATCTTACTACAGGTAAGCTAGGACCACAAGTGGCACAATCTTACTACAGGTAAGCTAGGACCACAAGTGGCACAATGTTACTACAGGTAAGCTAGGACCACAAGTGGCACAATCTTACTACAGGTAAGCTAGGACCACAAGAGTGGCACAATCTTACAGCAGGTAAGCTAAGACCACAAGTGGCACAATCTTACTACAGGTAAGCTAGGACCACAAGAGTGGCACAATCTTACAGCAGGTAAGCTAAGACCACAAGTGGCACAATCTTACTACAGGTAAGCTAGGACCACAAGAGTGGCACAATCTTACTACAGGTAAGCTAGGACCACAAGTGGCACAATCTTACTACAAGTAAGCTAAGACCACAAGTGGCACAATCTTACAGCAGGTAAGCTAGGACCACAAGAGTGGCACAATCTTACAGCAGGTAAGCTAGGACCACAAGTGGCGCAATCTTACTACAGGTAAGCTAGGACCACAACAGTGGCACAATCTTACTACAGGTAAGCTAGGACCACAACAGTGGCACAATCTTACTACAGGTAAGCTAGGACCACAACAGTGGCACAATCTTACTACAGGTAAGCTAGGACCACAAGAGTGGCACAATCTTATGTTGCAGATGTTATGTTTGCTTGTTTCACCTCCAAAACTGGAGACTGACTCCCATAAAAAGTGAAAGATTAAGGGGTCACCTGCTCGACCAGTTGCCTGTGTACTCCATTTCCTCTAATAAGAAGACACATTGTTTAGCAATTATAAACCAAATGATCAGTTTTAAGCGTTTTACAAATACATATCCTCCCCACACAACTTCTGTATAACTAAACTGCAGGTCGCTATATTCATAGCCATACCCTAATTGTTGATAGGGTACATTTTTAAAACCCATTAACACCCCAGCCTAATGAGACTAATTGTAAGTTTCGGTCTACTTTAAGTGAATTCTCCACTTTGATGGCTACCTAGGAACAGGCAACATTATTTCCCCCGACAATAAACATGAGGATTATGAAAGTATGTAAAACTCATTGTATCAGTACAGAAAAACGATCCAGCTTTGAAGTATTTTCAACATCCTTCCCTGTCGATTCCTCCAACCCGAGACAGATGAAGAATACAAGATACATTACATGCGTTCTTCATGTTCTTCCTTTGTAAAGAGGTAATGGTTGAGTAAAACTCTGAGGTATGAATTTCAGAACTTTTCGTTTGTATGTATTTTTTTACGATATCTAAGACACCATGTCCATAGTAATTTGATAAAACGTTGCTATATTTCAGCCTTAAGTATACTTACTATACGGGTAAGGTAAAAGTGTGTGAAGATATTGATTTTATGTCTGTCAGCAGATCTTTACAAACACAATTGTCCTTTGTGAAGCAAGCACAATGAATTGTGTCCGTAAGCAGAGAGTCAGTTTTGTCAGACATTCAGTTATCTCATTCTTCATTCTGTACTTCCTAACTGTTTGGCAATTTGAGGCATGTTATTTCTACGTTTTCCTAACTGTTTGGCAATTTGAGGCATGTTATTTCTACGTTTTCCTAACTGTTTCCCAATTTTAGGCACATTTTTCTCCTATTATGCTACTTTGAAGAATAAAAATGGATTAGAGATTTTTATATGCCAGGCTTAAAATAGACCTTAGTATAATGTCATTACACTAAAACATGCGTTTCATAGTGTCTGCATATTAAAATAGATCTTTGTGAAGTGATGTCTTCACATTAAAATAGATCTTTGTATAGTGACATCAAGATAAAACTATCTTTGTAAAGTGACATCAAGATAAAACTGATCTTTGTAAAGTGACATCAAGATAAAACTGATCTTTGTATGATGTCTTCACATTAAAACAGATCTTTGTATGATGTCTTCACATTAAAACTGATCTTTGTAAAATGTCTTCACATTAAAACTGATCTTTGTATAATGTCTTCACATTAAAACTGATCTTTGTATGATGTCTTCACATTAAAACTGATCTTTGTATGATGTCTTCACATTAAAACAGATCTTTGTATAATGTCTTCATATTAAAACTGATCTTTGTATGATGTCTTCACATTAAAACTGATCTTTGTATGATGTCTTCACATTAAAACAGATCTTTGTGTCATCATGCTAACTTGATCTGGTTGATCATTTTAAATGTTTTAAACACATTCATAGCGTGGAGCCCAACAGCAAAACAAAAGACAGCTGGTCAACATCAAATTAGGGGGAAAACTGATCTCTATATTCTTCTCACATTCCTAATCTTTGAACAAACATGTTACTTTTGTTGCACTGACTTGAACTCTAACATAAAATCACTAAATAAAATACTGTTCAGACATTAAAGCATGAAAAATCACAATTCTACCAAAATATTTCAGAAATTTTAGGGAAAAATGTGTTAGTAGTTTCTTTTTGAAGTATTTGGACATTAACACAAGTCAGTTATTGTATAGGAATTAGAACTGATGTCACAATTGATTGATATTATTGACTTATATAATGTATTATTACTATTGTATATTTGAGACCGATGTAGAGAGTCTATGATCCTGTATTGGTAATAAACTTAAAATTTCCTTACGACAAAATATTCTCATAAAAAGGTGTGTTAAAAGCAGAAAACAGACCTTTATATATAAAATAAAATATTAAAATCCTCAAATAAGATTCATCCTTGGCTTTAGATGAAGATACATGTAACTCTATTACAAATGCAGAATCAAGGCAAGCCCTGAGACAAAACTAGACAATGTTTCAGACAGGAATGTTCTACTTCCAAAAGAAGTGTTGATCTTGACCTTTAAATCTCTGAAAAACAAACTTATATATACTTCTGATGGCAGATCTGAAAGGACACAGATTCAGCAGGGTGCCAGACAAATGTCACACATTATGCTGCCACGAAATGTGTGAAAAAAAAGATATTTTTCCTGGAAATTTTACAACTTATAACCCTATCAACAGATAACATATCAGTTTACATATACCTTATCTTGGAAGTTATCACTAGTGATTACATACCAGCCTAGTGTAACCTCCAGATAATCACTAATGATAACATACATTTGTACCAACCTAGTGTATCCTACAGATAATCTATAGCGACAACACATTACCCTAGTATTCCCCTGGTAATCATAGGTGATCAATTATTAATGATTTATGCAGGTCACACACATCACATTTATCATTTTTCTATCCCTCATGTCTTTTGATTACTAAGTGATATTACACTAGCTGTAAACTTGGGACACTGATTTTTAATTAACTCTCAAGGTTTGGTTTCATCGTTTCAATAATTTGGCTTACTCCTTCAGCATTGTAGAAATCTCTTTTAACTGAAATTTATCAAATTCCTCTACTTACATCGGAATAAACAGAGAACCTAATGGAAACCACCCTGTGGGAGGATCAAGTGTAGATTTATATATCTTTCAAACTGTCTTTGATTAAATCTCTGCCCAGATGAATTCCAATCAAATGTAACATTAAGGTGAATTTATGTCTGGAATAATGACTGCTGTGTTTTTACTAATACAGCTACACACAATGTATATCACCCAATAAAACTTATTCTAATACATTGCTGTAGCAAATGCACCTTTGC